ATATAATATAATATAATATAATATAATATAATATAATATAATATAATATAATATAATATAATATAATATAATATAATATAATATAATATAATATACTGCAGGTGTGAATGAAAAATATAAAATTTAAATTAAAAAGAAAAAGAAAAATGAAAATAAAAATATAAATAAATAAAACTCCTCTTGACTTCTATGTCGCCCTTTTAGGAAAGGAAAGGAAATGAAAGAAAAGGAAAGAAAAGGAAAGGAAAAGGAAAATTAAAGGGAAATGGGATGGAAATAAAGGGAAAACGACGGGAAAATGGCAAAATTTGAGGAAAAATGAAGGAAATGAGAGAAAAATGGGAGGAAAGGGGGGGGAATGGCTGTTGGGGGAGGTGGCCRGCCTCGCTGGCCCCGTTTCCCCTCCGTCTGAACCCAAAAAGGGGAAACTCCTCGAAAGGAGGAAGTTTCCCACGGCGCCGAAATTGGGTGAATTTCCGCACTGTGAAATTGGGTGAAATTCTGGGGGAAAAAAGGGGGAAAAAAAAGGGAGATTTGATCCCCTTTATCCACGTGGTCCTTGTTTTATCCACCTGGTCCCAGGACGCCCGCTCCTGGCTCGTGTTTTCCATGGATCCCGATGGGAATCGGATCCCTGTCTTCCATGGATCCTAATGGGAAACGGATCCCGGCTCCAGAACAAGCGACCTCCCCCCCAGCTCGTGTTTTCCATGGATCCCAGTGGGAATCATATCCTTGTTTTCCATGCATCCCAATGGGAATCAGATCCCTGTTTTCCATGGATCCCAATGTGAATTGGATCCCCATTTTCCATGGATCTCAATGGGAATCAGATCCTAGCTCCAGAATGGGCGACATCCTCCCCCGAGCTTGAGTTTTCCATGCATCCCAATGGGAAATCATATCCCCATTTTCCATGGATCCCGATGGGAATCAGATCCCCGTTTTACATGGCTCCCCATGGAAATCGCATCCCTGTCTTCCATAGATCCCCATGGGAATCGTATCCCCCTTTTCCATGAATCCCCATGGGAACCATATCCCTCTTTTCCATGAATCCCCATGGGAATCGGATTCCTGTTTTCCATAGATCCCAATGGGATTCGTATCCCTGTGCTCCAGGGATCCCCATGGGAATCACATCCCCATTTTCCATGGATCCCAATGGGAATCATACCCCCATTTCCCATGGATCCGATGGGTACCGGATCCCCGTTTCCCATGGATCCAATGGGAATCGGATCCCGGCTCCATCCCGGTCGCCCTCGGAGGCCACCGAAGGTCTCGGCTCCGTCCCCCTGTGCTGACCCAACCGAAAGCTGCTGAGCTGTTTCCTCCCCGCTATTTTTGGGCCGGAAAAACGCAATTTTGGGGCATTCAGCAAGTTGCAGCCTCCCCCTGCCATATAAGCACTAAACATATATAAAAAAACCCCTAAAATTATGATGATTTTTATTTTTTTGAGGTGCATATAACAATAAAAGTATAATGATGATGATTATTATTATTTTGGGGTGTATATAAAAATAAAATGAGAATTATGTTTATTATTAATTTTGGGTTGCATATAAAAAAATAAAACGAGAATTACGATTATGATAATGATTATTATTAGTTTGGGGTGTATATAAAAAATAAAACTAGAATTATGGTGATGATTATTATTTTTGGGGTGCATATCAGAAATAAAATGAGAATTATCATGCTGATAATGATGATTATTATTATTTTGGGGTGCATATAGAAAACAAACCATGAATTATAATGATGATTATTTTGGGGTTGCATATCAAAAATAAAACAAGAATTATCCTGACAATGATGATGATGATTATTTTTGGGTTGTGTATAAAAAATAAAGCGAGAATTATGGTGATTATTATTATTTTTGGGGTGCATCTCAAAATAAAACAAGAATTATCATGCTCATAATGATGGCTATTATTATTTTGGGGTGCATATAAAAATAAAACGAGAATTATGATGATGATTACTGTTATTTTTGGGGTGCAGCCAAAAATAAAAGGTGAATTACGACGATGACGACGATGACGACGACTATTTCGGGGTGCATATCAAAATAAATCACGAATGATGATGATGATGATGATGATTTTGGGTGCATATCAGAAATAAAACGCCAATTACGGTGCTGATAACGAGGGTTATTATTATTATTATTTCGGGGCGCAGCGGAGCGTTGGCCCCGTCGCTTCCGCCGCCTCCCTTCCCTTTCCCGCGCATCCAAGCTCCGGCCCCTCCAACCACCCATGGGAGCGATGAAGAAGTCCCCAGGTTCTCCTTGCCCAAAAGTGGTTGTTTTKGGGGTTTTCCCCCCTTTTTTCCTGCTTTTTTTGGCAGGATGGAGGTAGCGGCACCCAAGGAGGAGCCCTGGGCGGCTCCGGCCAAGGGCCCCCAACCATTTGCATGATGCTCTTCAGCGACCACGAGAGGAACCGAAACCCCGGGGTGAAGCCACCGGCCAAACTGGGGGGCTGGGACCCAATGGGGACGGGGACAGTGACGGGGACAGTGACGGGGACGGGGACGGAGCCCCCGCTGCCACCATGGCCAGGCAGGAGACCTACGGCAACTGGCTGTGCCCCCCGCCCAAGCGACTCGTGAGACAACCAGGTAGAGATGCCTCCAAAATTCTCTT